CGCGTGCATTTTACCATGTCCAGATGCAGAAAATAACCACTGGGCTTGTGGGCAATCGTTCTGTGCAAACAGGTGAAGCTGGTAGCAATGGTTAAAATGACTGGCGGCCCCTCACTTACGTACGTCACGTGCGAGTATACCGCAACGTTGTCTTCAACCCACTCTTTCACTTTTTCTAGAGCCAAGCACGTGTGATCCGCGCTGTCACACAGGTCCTCACTGATGATAGCAAAGCTGTTTGTAGATTTTCTTGTAAATACACATGTAAATATAATAACTTTTTTTTCCAGTGGTATGCTTGAACTTTGTCAGGAAGCACGATGTCCACTTTTCAGCGAAGTCAAATGAAAAACAATGCTCCCGCGTTGCATGGACTGCTTTTCATTGTATATCGCTTTATCATGCGTTTGTCGGATATGGTATTGAAACATCCAACTTTCAACCGTTAAACATTTAGAAAGTGGAGACACATAAGGAGGGATACGTACCTTATCGCCCCTGATGTGTCTCCACTTTCTAAATGTTTAAAAAACACCAACACGCTCAAATAGTACTAGTTTCAACCGTTACTTGAACGAATTTTAGAAAAGTCTCAGGATATATATATATATATATATATATATATATATATATATATATATATATTATTTTTTTTACACAAGGTCGCCAGACTTCCATGTTGTAAGCACAATCTCTTCATCCTCTGGGATATGAAGTTCCTCGAGTGTAAGGGACTGGCCTTTTGGGCAGTGATCGCAGTCTCATTGAAGACACAGACTTGTTAGTGGGTCGCACAGAAATTCTGAATTCATTTCACCAGTGTTGAATGTTTAGCCTGTAACGTTCTCTACAGTGGCATTACAAAGGCAATAATTGGCGCAGCCCACACAAACGCATACTTCGTGGTGACCCATCTAGGGCGCAAGGAATAAAATTTCGTTAGCCGAACGCCGGAATCAGGGAGCTTATCTTTCTATACAAGAAAGGCCTCTCGGATTGAGTGTTTTAGCAAGCGCTTTGGAACAAACGTTTTCTCCCCGTCAAGACTGAGAGAGATCACATCCTTCTGGTTGGGACTTCGGCGCGAATATTGTAGCTCGTTCCCAGGGGTCACCTCGCACCTCGTGTAAGAATGCGACTCATACCACACGCCATGCTTTCCCTTACATGGAGCGTAAACACTGTCGCCATGTTAACCTTTCCTAGGTTAATATAATGACAGTGTTTACGCTATATTGTATTTAGGCGGTGTTCAAGTATTGGGGGGTTCTGCTGTTTGCCGGTGTGCCTCTTTGCGCCTAATATTATCACCCGTGACGCCAGCGAGTGGGATAGCGACAGGCATGATTGCTCAGTAAACAAGGCATCGGCGGTCATAGTTTGCTGGCTGAAGCGAACCATCTCATCCTTGACAGCGAGCGAGGAAATTCGAAAAAAGATTGTATCGGCCGCTTTGCTAGAACTAGCGACAAGAGTCGTCTGCTATACTTCCGTCAACTATTGCGCCATAATCATGATCTTCGGGAGGAAATGGTTGAATATATTCGAATTCCAAATATAAGTCTGGTATATATATAAGAAAGATAGATGGAGATAGAGCGGAAGAGAGAGGAGCATAAAGTGTCGTAGGAAAATAAAGTAGACATAGGATCCCAATGGCCGATGGCTGCAGGATCTCTTTTCGGATCCCTAGTTCGTGATATGATAGCTCTTTGTACGCAGTAGTTTCTCCTCACTTTTACTGCGTGAACGATTGCTATATTTTTCCATGGCCTCGTCTAAATGAAAATATACAAAAGTTGTGTGTTTGTTTCATGAAAGTGGTACTTGATTGTCACTTCTCGTATGGGCCACTGCTAAGTGTATTCTTTGAAAAAAGACCCTACTTTGGGGAGTTGCGTCTTCTTCTCAATAAAACAATGTAACATGTTTTCTATAGAAATGAATGCAGAAATGGAGTATGACAGGGTACCCAAATGTAAAAATAAATAAATAAAAAGCGGTGTTTTTTTTTCTTTTTTTTCATCGGAATTTTTTTGTTTGATTTTTTTTGTCTCAATATGTGCCTAAATATATCCCGACTATCCTATACCTTAAATGCTTTATATATATGTTTTAGAATAATAGCCATATATAAGAAGAATAGTCTCTAAAAAGTATATGATAATGATTAAATTATTTCATGAGATACACGCATCCAAATTTTGCCATTTCTTGTTCAAGCAGGCATGTTTGGCAATTTTTGTAGAACGAATTATAATAGAAATAATTATATTTTAAATATTTCACAGGCAAGCTATATCCATAGTTTGTTTCTAAATAGTTATAACATTCTCCTAATTTTATTGCTTGAGTTATTCACTTTCAAATGTGCCCCATCCATCAGTGCGTATTAATGTAACTGTCCACCTCTTCACGCCTTACGGTTTTTCCTGTCCCCAATATTTTTTTTTCTGGTCAAAGCTAAGTTTTGATTCCTGTACAGCATACGCTAGACAAAATAATATAAAAGCATGAGTTGATTTAAAAATGTCGACCAGCCATCCTTTGGTCGATCTTCTCTGAAATTACTCAACTGTTATTTGCGGAAAACACAATAGTAGTTTCATGGCCGCGAAAAATTTACTAAGGTAATAAAATAGAATACTCCCGTTTTTCCTATAGCATGCATTAGCTCGTGTCAAGCGATGACGGCCGGTGGTACCACTCGACCCCAGCAATACAGGCCTCTATCCGCGATCCAGCCTACATGGAGATCAGTGGTGCCAGTGCTATTAGACATAAATCGTTTTTTTGCACTCAATTTTCGCGATGACCACTTAAACAGCTCCACACTGCCAAATCGCGAGAAAAGATTGTCGCCTGCAGCGTATTCAGCTTCACTTCTCATGCGTTTTATAGAGAAGAAAAGTATCAAAGCCACGCGGGACAGGTTAGGTGAAAGTTTCAGTGGCTTCAGTTTCGTTTTCGAGTTCGTCGCCTTGGTGGCACGGGCATGTAAACTTTTTTCAGTCAATATTTTCAGTGAAATATGAGTCGCCTGATCATTTCTCGTGCCCTCTGACACAAAATGTGGCAGTAATTCCATCATTGCCCATAATGACTAAAAAGTCGTCTGCTATCGTTGGAACGGCCATACAGACGCGTATGAAAATGGCATCGCCACCTGCTCCGCCCGCTTCGCCAACCCTTTCAAAATCTAGAAAATTAAAACCCCGCGTGTCCTCCATACAATTGGGCATTCTGATTGGCTTTATGGAGGGCCACACACAATTGGCAAGGGCATGCACCGAGCTCACCGCAGAGTTCACCAGAGATCGGCGAACTCTATTGTGGGCCGAGCCTGTGCGGCGCCTAAACAGCCTTGAGCCGGCGAAGAAGACTCGGGCGGAGTGGCAGCAGTTTTGGAGCGCGAAAGCTAGAGTACCAAAGGGCAAGGCAGGTATCCTGAGTGAGGACAGAAGGAGCATGGGAGGAGGGCCACTCCGAGGTTTGCCTCTGACTCTAGAGGAGGAGCGAATTCTCGGAATCCTCGGTTTGGGCACAGTCCAAGGTTGCGGCGGGCCAGTGCTGGGACCTGAGGTGAGATCACACTATTTTTGCATTGACATGCCGACGTTTTTGGTGAACCGATTAGCAGTGAAGAAAACACCCCCAAACATGGCTGCCCTTGTGCACAGTGAAGCAAATACTTTCTCAAATGCCCTAGTATATCACCATCTTGCTGTCACGTAGAGGGTCACAGTAAATTTGTATGCTAATTCTAAGCCTGACTGCATATATCAAGAAATTGTCTGAAGATAGGGGGCTACGTGGGTCGACAGTTGGTGAGCGAATAGTTTGCACGTGCTAGTCACTAATAGAGTTGCCAAAATTATTTCAGCCACCGGCCAAAGATGCCCTTCAACCTCGATGGCATTCGGGCACCATCCCAGCCAAGTCGATGAGCCGGATGACGAGGCTGGAGGCAAGTGTTTCTTTTAATGAACCTGAGTTTGTTGGTATGAATTATATATACAATCTGCGCATCTCTAAGGTTGTCTCATAGTTTAGTCTCCGCTATGACCCCACCCTGTCCAGAGAGAAGTCCGGCGAGCTCTTCGTGGAGTCCCAGGCCGACCTCGTGACCCAGGTCATACGGCTCGCTCAAGCGGTTCACCATGCAGGTCGAAATTCTCACAAAGCAAATGCATTCAGTAAATCAGAAACGTGAAAGATGCACGCAGCGAGTTCATTCAAGAATCAAGAGCATGCACCATTGGACCCACACCTTTATAAAGTGCAGAGGCAGTCCATAATATAGAAATTACACTTGTGAATTCATGGCCCGAAAGAAATGGAATCAGTGGACAACCATAAAAAGCACACATTTAGTGACTACTTTCCACATTACACATCCAGTGCAATAGGTTGGTCATATTTGTGAGCAATTGCAAACCACGTTGTACACAAAATGCGTAAACCCGTGCGGTGGATATATCAAATTCATTTCCTTTCTATAAGATAGGTGACTCTAATCACTTATTTTATCGGGCAGATATCCTTCAACTTAGGCAAGCTTACTCTTTGGTTCCATTAACCTGGTCCTATGAGTACATGGTTTTGTCACAGGTAAATTAAATGTCAAGCTCCGATACATTATTGTTTATGATCCTACTACTGCAAAGCGGCAATCAACATAGTAGTGATACGCTGTGCAAAGTGGCAGTGGACAAGCAGGACATAGCTCCCAAATACATGTGCAACTGTTTAGCTGATAAGTTAGCCATTCGCAATAGTTGCAAACAAAAGGGAAGCAAGAGTTTATACAGATTTCGCATTAGATGTGGTGGTGCTGCGTGTATTTTGCTAGAAATAAACATTTATACATTTGTCTCACCCTGAGATATACACTAATGTGAGTGATACTTAGTGATACATGATGCATTGCTTCGTAAACATCTACTAAAAAAACAAGGTTGTTGCTTGACCCATGTTGCGTGGCAAGGTGCTTGCTGCAGACCCTGCAACCTTGGAAAAAGTACGAGCATGTAAATGCTGAGTACGTGGACGATGAGCATGTCGACGATGAGTATCTCGACGCAGACAAAACCTTGCCACCAGTTGACGCAGCTGAACATTCGCCACCGATCGATGCAGTCCAGAGCCTACAACAAGTGGGAGACTTCAACAATGACATTCCTCTCGACAACCTAGAGGAAGCAAATGGCAATGGTAGCCGGAACAATACAACACCCGCAATCGACCATCAACCTACCAGACGAAACTCAAGCTGCACTTACCGCCCTTCTGCCCCCAAACCACGTTATACCAACGGAACCGCCCGGCTTCGTTGTGGGCCCCAAACAACAAACAGTATCGCGCTATGAATTATAACCACGGGACTCTGATTTGCCCGGTGCCCTGTGTATACGACTCGCGGGTGATAAAATAAATTCAGACGGCAATATATTTGATAGGGGGGATGGTGGAATTGTGCGCGTGAACTGAGAAGGATGAAGTTCGACGGTTGGAAAAAGAAAAGTCTTTGGGCCCGTTGCACATGTTACAAAGAGCACAATATTATGCAGTGAAGAAAAGCTGTCTATGAAGGAGGTAATAAAACCATCAAATATTGCACTCTGGCGAATGATTTATTAAAGTTAAGCAAAGTTTCTTTTTTGTTTCCTCAAACAGGCCAGAAACGAGCTGGTACGTGTGGGCACGCAGGCCAGGGGGCTCCTGTGTCTGATTGCCTTCCTGGCAATTCAACGCACAAAAAGTGACCACGGACTTGATTAGGGACGCACCTGATTAATAGCGAGGTAGGTTCCCTTTCTCTTGACATTTCTTTTGGCTCTTATAGTAAACATTATAATTTCTGTTTACTTTTCAGGACGAGCACCTTTCGACCAGAACAAGAAGAGCTGGGTGTATTTATAAACGAACCTTTTAACATGATTAAACTTCTAATTTATGCTTCAACGTTTTCTGGCTTGTGGAAATTGGTACGTGCAAAACGTGTAGTTAGTTCATTGCTTTCGTCGATTGATTTCAACACAGGTGTTGTGCATGGGAAATTTCCTGTAAATATTTTTGGCATCTTCCCCTGAACGACTTCCACACATAAAGCCGCGATTAAGAATAGTCCTGCAAATATAGCAGAATGACAAGCTAGGCCTGTAATGTTATGCTGGAAATGTCCACCTACATCGCTTGTCAACTATTATCTTGATTGCTATCTAGAAAGTAAATATATCACTAAACAAAATTTTGAACCACTGTTGCTGGACACATTTGAAAAATATATAAAAAATTCGCAATACCAGGACTATTGAGCACTTTTATTTGCTTACCCAGCAAAGCAATTAATAGAAATAGATTCACAACAAATTGCAGTGCCCAACAACCAGATAAATATCAGAGCAGAGAAATACGCAGCTTATGCAATGTCAACGTATGTGAACCTCCCTAACAGTAGATTAAAAGCAGCCCTGCCACAAATAATATGCGAGTAATTTTAAAAATGTACTGGAGATGCATCACCCTACGCAACTGCTGTGCCTGCTTTGGCTGAGCAGGATAGTGCAGTCATATTGATTTTGTCTACCATTAAATGGTTATACAAAGCATTTATATGGATGTAGCATATGAATGGAGTTCGAAAATCAAAGGATCCTGTCTCCTAGAGAGCTTCAACCAGTCTTCCAATATGACCTGGAGCACATGAGTTGTCAAACCAGCAGACCTAGTATAAAATGTATCTTCTTGCACATCAAGCATATTCAAAGTGGAAACAAATAGTGTGGGTAATGGCTACAGGGCAATAACTGCTACAATGCCTTTTAAAAGGGCCCCTTACAGGGGCCTATTATAAGGGGTGCTGTGTTCTAATTTAAAAACAATCCATAGCGTAATAGAAACCCTGACATAGCTGAAGAATTGAATGTTTATTGTGGCTGATGTACAGTTTATTGAAACATTTATACCTTCATCATAGTCCTTCACAACTTCAGCTCAAAGTGGAAAGTTCAATCATAAATTGACCACAAAATATCCAACTAAAATTGAATATTAACACTTGTGGGAACAGTTCTCATCATGCGAGCTATAGGAGCAAATACTGATGCTTGGTCGAGGCATGAGACCATTATTTCGGATGCTGTAGCATAATAGGCCGTAATGATAACCAAGTTGAATAATGCCTGTCTCAAAATTAGTACAGTAGACTCTCACTAATTCAAACTCCAGAAAACCACAAATTTTGATTGAATTGTCAAAAATTCATTTAAATATGATGCAAGATAAAATTATGGTTTGTAATAGGAATGGCTACACATAGAAAACAGTTAATTGATGATTTTCTCTACGTGGGCCTTCTGATCTTAGCCAGGTATGCCACACATGAAACATTTCTTAAATGTATGACGCAAATTCATTTATTCCTCAAAAATGTGGTTTATCATGGACGCTTTAGACAGCAAATGACAACTGAATCAAAAAGAAGTTTGTTCATCAGGCCAAGAGGTTGTCTCATGTGGACTATTAAGCAGGGGACACAGGAACGATGAGAACGGGCACCGCGCAGCAGTTTTCATAGCAACTTGCGCGGACGCTGTGACGTGGACCTATGCCATGCCACCATGTCGGAGCGTCTGTGCAAGTTGCTATGGAAATATATAAGTGGTGCCCGTTTTCATACCTAATGCGTGCCCCCTCCAGCACCATTGAGTGCGCTTGTCACCAAGTAGGGTGCACTGCGAACTAGCAACACCAACGGAAGTAAGCTTCGCAGCTGTTGCCTCTCTGCAGTGCGTCGGTACTCGAAAAGAAGCGCACTCAACGGGGCCTCGAGAACAGAAAGTATAAAATGCATGAAAATGCCGTGCAAGTGAAGGGGCTTATGCACATATTAAAAATATTGCGGGACAACCAAATTTTAAAACTTGTTTGAAGTAATAAGGAGTAAAAAATACCCGAGTCAGATATATCGCAAGCGTAGTGTGTAAAAAAAAAAAAAAAAAAAAACTTGCAGATTTGGGTTGGTGTTACCATTTTTTTATTTGGCATACTACTTGTTTGTTTAGATGTAGAGGACATATTACGTGTTTATTCGTGCTTACCCTGTTGGAAAATCTCGATCATGGAAAGACGACGGAAAAGGCTCATACAAGCGTAACCGTAATATGGGACATCCTATACAAGCGAAAAGTCGGCTCCAGTATAGTGGATAAAGGCGGAATGATACAGGTGGGCGGAACCATACAAGCGTGTCGTATTATGAGACATCCTATACCAGCGTAGTGGATTACGGAACCATGTAGGCGGACGGAGCCATGCATGCATAACGTAATATGGGACATCCCATGACCGCGAAAAGGCGATACCAGCATAGTGGAGCCATATGGCTCTACCATGCTGGTATCGCCTTTTCACCGTTGTACAGGGCGATTTAGTTTTAAGCTTTACATATATGTTTAGAAAGGTCGTGAAAGCTAAATAATGCGGTTTGTGCAGGCGATTAGTTCTGCCAGGGGTACGCAGTATAGGGCCCTAACCGTAACGATCAGTCGAATAATTAAATACAGTTTGTAAATTAACTTTTTAATTACTAAAAACGAACAGATGGTTTCAATTAGAAACTTGCCGAGAGTCATCGAAGACCACTAAATCAACTCTTTTAAGAAGGATATAACGCAGGGATAGCACTTTATGCGTTCTGTAGAAACGCGTTATTTGGATCCGTTTCTAGGTTTCGATTTCTTATCTGAGCGCAACTCTGCGCCCGCGGTCCTGTTCCCCAGGAGTTTAGTTGTGCAACACACGTGCACCTCGCTTCCCTCCATCCTACGAGGGAGGCGAGGGGGTGGCTTTGCACTGAGGCCACCGGGCAGCAGGATCGCAGGCGCAAAGATGCGCTCTGGTAAGAAATCGAAGTTTGGAAACGCGTCCTAATTGACTATTTTTTTAGAACACCGTAAAATGCTGCTCTTGTCTTACATCTTCACAAATAAAGTTGATTTTGTGTGTTTTGATGATAATTAGCAAGTTTCTAATTGAAACCATGGATCTATTTTCACACATTGAAATTTTAAGAAACATATTATACTTAAAGGGAAGCTGAAGCGGTTTTTCATTTGAGGAAACACATTAAAATATTCATTGTTACCTTCAGGATATCAAATATCAAAATTATTTCTCAATTTGGTTAATCGAGGCTGCATAGAATCATTTTTTAAGTACTGGAGGCGCTTCCCTGGAGAGCGACGTCACAAAAGCAGCCTTCGAAATCTTTGCCCACGTATCTTCAGCGCCTATCAAAACTATGCACGCACATGCTATTTTTTAAAAGGGCAGAACAATATATCACGACTGGTGCCAGTGCGGGAGAATATACCTAGAAAACTTGCGATTGGACGCGCGGCCCTTAAGCGACACACGCTTGGTGGCCAAAATGTCTTCTTACGATATCACCATTGATAGTATGTTTTTTCTTGTGTTTTCTCGCGTTTAGTTATATCTTTGTGGAAAACGAACGGGATATTCAGATTCGCGGGATAAAACTACGCTAGAATGAACCTCCATCTAGTTTTCTGAAAGAAGTTTGGCACTTCTCTGTAATAAGCCGACTGATCATTACGAATTAGCCTTTTATACTATGCCGCCCTGGCTATCTAACCCACGTGCAGAGACCGCGTAAATGTAGCTTTTATGGCTTTAAAAAAAAATCTGTAAAACATACAAAAAAAAAAACACCCTGTAGAATGTCCCCCAATACGATACGACTGTATGGTTCCTTCCCCGCTTGTATCGTTCAAGAAGGACTTGCAGACAACCAGCCTTTCATTGGAATGCTGGATGTCAGCGAGTCTCTACACCAGTGAGTGGTTTCAAACAAGCATGATGTTTGCACACCAGTACCCTATTGGAAAACCCCAATATGAACAGCGTATTATGGATATTGGTAAACAATATCGTTTTATTGTATTGCAATACAATATAGACATTGTATTGGAAAACATCACATTTATTGTATTGTATTACAATGAGGATTTCTTATGGGATTCCAATATCCATAAAACGCTGAAAATATTGGAATCCAATACCGTATAAACCCTTATTGGATCCCCATGTGTCGTATGGAGATCCAATAAGGGTTTACGATTCCAATATACTCAGCGTATTATGGATATTGGAATCCAATATATTATATCGGCTACCAATAAAACTATATACGAGTTGGAATATCACGTTCAGCGCAACATTTCTCTGCAACGCAGTCTCCTCTTGTGTGTATTTCTGAGTGATAAATTAAAAAAAGTGTTGCTGTTGTCAAATTGTGAATAAAGAAGCAAAACACTGGACTTATCCATACCAAATATATTTAACATATTCCTGAACTGGAGGATCTGGCATTTACTGCAAAAGAAAGTTAATTGTTTAGGACTCTCATTCAAAAACTTGATGTTTGAAAACAGAATGTGAAATCCTCACCTTAATGAAAACAGAACCTGCTAGCTGTAGCCATATAGAAACTGCAAAATAAAAATTTGGGATTAGTTTGCGACAAGTAGCAATCCTTCACCAAGCCGGATAGATTCAAAATTATGTCTGCGTTTGATTGTGGAAAAATAAGCTTCAATGCCACTGCCACAGGTCATTCTGAGCTCGGTCAAATAAATATACGTATCCGCTCGTCTGGCTTCACTATTCCTGCTTCGCACCTAACTAGAGTATCTGGAATGCTCACCTTTGAGGAAAAACGAACTGGTGCTTGCTTGCTTGTAGGCCGTGGAAACTGGAAGAGAGATTTGCGGTTAGTTGCGTCCAAGTAGCAGTTTGAGTAGCCACGTAAAGTACACTAAGTCTGAAAGATCCAAAATTACATGCGCGGGACATAGATACCCTCTTGCGACGTAACTGGGCACACGTCAATGTCGCCC